GCAAACTGTGTCAAGGGACGGGGTGCTAGGCAAACGACATAATGGGGCGGGCAACGCCGACTTCTGTATCGGCCTTTGCATGTGTGTGTGTGTGTGTGTGTGTGTGTGTAGGCGTGCGTGTGTGTGTGTGTGACTTTGTCAGTGTGTGTGTGTGTGTGTGTGTGTGTGTGTGTGTGTGTGTGGTGGTGTGTGTGTGTGACGGGAAGGGGGAGGCAGCAAAAAGTGGCGCACAGCGACTGCCGGGAGGAAATTCCGCACCAAGACGGGAGAATGCACGCAAGTTGAGCTGGGTCGGCGGCAAGAAAGGGTTGACGGCACCCGTGGAATTATGTGGCGAGGTGAGAGCGCAGCAGCAGCCAGCGATGGCCGCCGGAAGTAGAGGAAAACCGGAAGGCCGCATGTACCTGGTGAAACACAGGGCATTGTGGATTTGCGAGAAGACCAGTAGAGGCGGCCCCAACTCTAGGCGCGTTTTGAGCTGTCGCCAAACAGGGCTCGAACCGAACGTGTGACCCCACCAATGGATTCCTCGTTCGGAGCGCCATCCATTGATGGGGTCACACGTTCAGTTGGAGTCCAGGTTAGCGAACTTGGAACTCAAAACGCGTCTACAGTTTTTTCCGCCTGCACCGTCCTTCTGTGCTTCGTCCGGTAGACGACCAGGTCGGGTGCAGGGTCTGCGGAGCGTCGGGGAAGAGAGCCAACAAGTCCTGGAGGTCCTGGGAGGGATGTTCCGTGCCGCGCCGGGAACTGCTCGGCCCACCAAGGACGCCGAGGACGCCAAGGTCGCAGGCCGATCGCCAGCAAACAGTCTCCTGCCGGCCCACCCAGCGCCGCCCGGAGCCGCCCAGAGCCGCAGACACAATCCCAGAGACCGCGTCCAATTCCCTTTTGTCCTCTCTTCCAGTCTGCCCGCTGTCTGCACACTTTTTAGTCGCCTTGTTTGTTTTCCTGCTCCGCCGCTCGCACTGACCCACCTCCGCATGTGTGGGCGTGTGCGTGTGTGTGTGCATGTGCTGAGAGTGTGTTTTTTTTGTTTTTTTTTGGGGGGGGGCGCAAGGAAAAAGAATCGAGTGCAGCAATCGTTGTGAAAAAAATTCTGATCCAGAAAGACACATCTGTATCATTGTACGTATCTGTCCTGCGTGTGGTGTCCGTCTGTCTGTCTGCCGCGTTGTGTCTTGGCGTCTGTCCACCCGCGTCTAATTGCCCCTGTCCGGCCGCATCGTCTGTCCGTCCGCCTGTCACTTAGAGCCAGCCGTCCGTCCGCCGGGACGCCTGCTTGCTCCCATTCATCGCGCCTAATTTGTTTGCAGTGCAGTGCACAAAAGTGTTCCCGCCGTATTTTATTCAGAGTGCCGCGCGTTTCGACCCCTCGGCGCGCGATCCCAAAATAAATAAAGGCCGAATCTGTGTGTGCCAACGGGGCCGCAATGAGCGGCAACAAAGGCCTCGCTCTGTCTCTCTCGCACTCATGGGGCGTCCCGTGCAGGTGCGAGAGAGACAGCGCGACGAGAACGACTCACAGTGTGCTGGCCGCTCGGCTCGGACTCATTCCGCGCGCTGGGGAAACAATCATTCACTTCCGGCACGAGGCTAGTTTGGCCCCGGCAGGGCGCGGCACGGTGGGGCAGAACACCGGTGGGGGCCGCCAAAACCCCGGACGCGTTTTGAGCTCCAGAGTCGCTAAACAGGAGGGGTCGGTTCCCGCCCAAGGTGGGCGTTTTGTGCCACTTTATGAATTCCTTCCTGCGTTTGCCTGGCGGCCGTGACCCGCAGGGATGGCCCGCTGTATCGGATCAGGCGAGTAATATTTATGCCTTCGGAGATTGGCTTAACTCCAAAGCCACTGTAATAGGGTTGGAATTATCAGGGGCACAATCGAAAGGGGAGGGAGCGAGGGAGAGAGAGAGAGATGCAGCGGCAATGGTGTGGCTAGAGGAGACGCAAACGGTCCCTTCGTCCCATTCAGAATAAATAAGAAGATAAATAAGAATTTTCCAAGAACCGAACGCGGGGCTGAAAAAAAACGAAACGAGGGAGCAATGAGTGTAGGGAGAGTAGGAAAGAGGGGGGGGGGGGGGTCGTCCCGTTAGTGTCGCTGTAGGTCGTGCTCCAGGCGACACTGGAGCAAGGGCGGCGAGGACGACGGCGAGGACGACGACGAGCATAAAGTTGTCCCAATCCGGCCGAACCAAGGCGCTCCAAGGCGCGGCGGGCAGCAGCGCAAAATAAATGTTTCTCGTGCTAAAACATCCAACGCAAATTGTATCATGGCAACTGCTGCTCCCCGAGTTGGCCCAGTTCCTCTCTTTCATTTCCCCCACCCCTTCCCTCCCCCCTCCCACCTCTTCCAGACCATCGCTTCCTGCTCTCGCGGTCTTTTGCGCCCTGCACCGAACGGGCCCGGAGGTCCGGCCGGCACGCGAGGACACTGTGTGTGTGTGGGTGTGTAGGTGTGTGTGAGGGGAGGGGCATGCAACGCAAATATTCATGGTGACTCACACAGGTACACATTCCGTGAAAAAAGCTCGAAAAGGAGAGAAAAAAATGCGTATCCCTGTTTTTCGAAACATCTTCAACCTATATCGGCGTCTGCCACGCCTGCTCCGCCCGTTAATCCAGGCCCAATCGAGGAGAGGGTGGGGACGGTGCGGCCGCGACTGCGGCATATTCAATTGTGTGATTGGCAACGCGATTACAAAGCCCCGAATCAGGGCGGCGTGCGCAGGTGTGCCAATGCATGCGTGCGTGTGTGTGGTGTGTGTGTGTGTGTGTGTTGTGTGTGTGTGTGTGTGTGTGTGTGCTGTGGAAGGAAGAGCTCCTCACCAGTCATCACCGATGGCAGCAGCACCCAGTTTCCTCGTAACAATCCTCCATAATCCCGACAAGCGACGGAAGGCGTGACTCTCTCTCTCCCTCTCTCTCTCTCTCTCTCTCTCTCTCTCTCTCTCTCTCTCTCTCTCTCTCTCTCTCTCTCTCTCTCTCTCTCTCTCTCTGCGTAAAGCAGCTTCGCGCGAGGCATGGCTGAGCTAGCTGTAAAAGGAGCCCGCCGCTGTATTCTTCCCAAGTGAAGGAGCAAGGCCGCGGTTCTACGAAACACTCGGAAACACTGGCCCGCTCCGAAGCGGAATAAATTGGCCGGGGTTCGCGTCCCGGCGGCGGCGGCCGGTGCATCGCACTGCCGGGCGGATCCCCTTCGTAGCGCGCCCAAATTCGACGAACTGCGTCCAACGTAGCTTCCTCGTTGACAAAAAAACAAAAAACATTGAAGCTTTACCAGTTTTATTTACAATAATTTCTTTTATTTTAAAAATTTTGTCCCACTGTGGCACGCCTGTCCCGGCCTTCTCGACGCGAAGCGACAAAGCAGCACCACGACGCAAGCGCCAAATGAGGTTGGGAACGCAACGCGCACAGGCATTGGAAAATGCAAGGGCCGGGGCGGGTTCCGAATCGCCTTCTCGCTCGCTCCCGCACCCCCGGCCAGGCGTGCGACGAGGACAGCGGGACCTGCCGACGAGGCGCCGACCTCATTAGTGAGTTTACAAGCCCCGGGTTCAAATACCCACCCCGGAATATTTTTTTTTTTGCCGCTGCCCTCGGCACCGCAATCGGTGGGTGCGCGGCAGGTGTCTGGCTTTTATTTTAATCGGCCACGCAGGTACGAGTGTCGCCCGCCTTTTTGTTCTTTTGGCGCTGCTGACCGCACTCAACATGCGCCGCTCGTATCCCCAGGCACGCCACAAAACAGTGGAGGCGTCAGCCCGCGCAATAAACAACAGGCAGGCCGAGCCGGCGACCCGCACACAGTGGGTCAGAAGACCGGTGGGGGCGGCCAAAACTCTAGACGCGTTTTGAGCTCCAGAGTCGCTAAACAGGACTCGAACCGAATGTATGACCCCACCAATGGATTGCTCTCCGAACGAGGAATCCATTGGTGGGGTCACACGTTCGGTTCGAGTCCTGCTTAGCGACTCTGGAGCTCAAAACGCGTCTAGAGTTTTGGCCGCCTCCGCCGGTCTTCTGGCCCACTGTGCCGCACCGCACTCGGCACAGCCTCGGCACAGCCGGGCAAATGGCCTCCCGCGCTGCCTCTAGCGTTGATGACTCGGGAAGCTTTGCACACGCGCGCAAACAGTGCCAGCGACTTCCGGACGCGTGTTTTACTGGCACAGTTCGCGTATGAAAACCGGACCCTCCACTCACAGATCGAACGCGCCGACACAGTGGGCCAGAAGACCGGTGTAGGCGGTCAAAATCACGGACGCGTTTTGAGCTCCAGAGTCGCTACATGGGACTCTCGAACCGAGCTTGTGACCCCACCAATGGATTCCTCGTTCGGAGAACAATCCATTGGTGGGGTCACACGTTAGCTTCGAGCCCTGTTTAGCGACTCTGGAGCTCAAAACGCGTCTGGAGTTTTGGCCGCCTCCACCGGTCTTCTGACCCACTGCGCAGCGTCTGGCGGCACGTCGCCTCCAGACCCATCCGCGGGGCAGAAGCCACGCGCGCGCAACACAACACGTACTGCACCATTGTCATGGTGATGTGTGCGCACCCACGGCGTGGCCGCCCCGCCCCGCCCCGCCCCGCCCCACCCCGCCCCGACGGCACCACGCTTATTGCAGCCCATGGTGGCGCCCCTGCAACGAACGGGGCGGGGTCCATCGGGGCCGTCCATGTGCACACCAATTTATTGGATTGTTTCTTTTCGTTTCGGGGAGAAATGGAAAAAGGGACCGGGGGGGGGGGGGGTGACGAGGGCCACGCGTTGTGGAGGGGGCTTGCGACAGCTTTATGCTTGCGGAATAAAACAACGCAGCACATGCTTCAAGTGGAGAGAAAGAGAGAGAGAGAGAGAGAGAGAGAGAGAGAGAGAGAGAGAGAGAGGGAGGTGTTACTCTTTGAGCGGAATGCACACGGTGGCGGGCGCGCACTCTCCCCAACTTCCCCGAAAGCCGCTCCCCATTGTTTGTGTTGTTCTTGTTTTGACTCACCTGCCGGGAGGGAACGACCTTTGCCGGGGCCCCACGATCAGCGCCTGGAGCAGAGGAAAACGCAGCTCGGTCAACAGCAGTCTTCCAGCACAGCTTTTGAAACGGCCCGAAACGGACCTTGACTCACGCAGGCACGGCATCACACACTCGGGCAGGTCCGGTGAAAACCACCATTCCTAGGCGGGGACGCCACCTCACCGCGCTGACCCACTTCCATTCCGGCCTCCTCCAACTTTGCTTTGACTGGCCTGCCCGAAAAGCCCGGCGAAGTTGCAATTGGGCCACACATCGCCACTCCGCTAAAGCAGACCAACATTCGTTTTGTTTCGTGCGGAGGACGAGACACCGCCTGAGAGCGCGGCACAGTGGACCAGAAGACCGGTGGAGGCGCGCAAAAGTTTTGAGCTCCAGAGTCGCTAAACGGGACTTGAACCGAACGTGTGACCCCACCAATGGATTCCTCGTTCGGAGAGCAATCCATTGGTGGGGTCACACGTCCGTTTTGAGTCCTGTTTAGCCACTCTGGAGCTCAAAACGCGTCTGGAGTTTTGGCTGTCGTCTGCCCCACTGTGCGTGATATAATTGATTTGATCCAGGCGTCGTGTAACGGCACGAGGTGAAATAAAGAAAGGAGCGACGTCAGTTCAGAGTGTAGGGCCGTGCGCGATAGCGTTCGCACACGCCCGCGATGGTATCGTGGCCGCTAATTTACGACTGTGCATAAACTTAGAAAGTTCGGAAGGGCGGCGCCTGGTTGCGCCTTGAACAGCGAGTCCCACCGGCCGACGTGCCCGGCGCCGATTTAACAATGTCAGCGGCGTGTTGGCGTGTGCGTGTGTCGTGTTGTGAAGGGGCCTTTTATTGTTATTTTTTAAGCAGCTGGCTGACAGAAGTGGACGCACGGCATTAAAAATGTAGCAGAGAACCGCGAAGAAAGTGCGATGGATGTAATGTTTCAGAGGTTGGGGTGCAAATTGTCGTTCACAGGGAGAATTGCTGAAATTGGTTTATGCTTGGCCGAGAGATGTTTGGCGGGTACGGTCTGGCGCCACTGCCCACCCCGTCACTTGCACCTCGGGCCGTGAGTTAATTTCACCCCTCAATAGCGGGACTGATCCTTCCGCCCCTCGTCTTGCGTGCGGCTGGGTCCAGGCAGGGACCAGATCCAGTGGGAGGGGTGGGGGTTGCGGCGAGCAGGGCAGGTAGCCGCGGCCTGACACGCCCTGCGGTCTGTCTGGGGTCACCGTTCCCCATGCTCGTCTCGTTGAGCGGCTGGCCTTGACTAGCAGGTATCTCACTCTGTCCTGCGCGGCCCTATGGACTCCGACTCAACCGGCGCCAGAAGACCGGCGGCGGCGGCCAAAACTCTAGACGCGTTTTGAGCGCCAGAGTCGCTGGCAGTGTAAGGTAACCGCGTCGCGTGTCGTGACGAAAGTCCAGCACGAAAGCGCGCGTCGTGCGACACGGCAACGTGCGCTAACGAGTGCGACCACTGCGCGAGCGTTTAGCAATCTGGAGGCAATCCAGGCAATCTAGGGCCATCCACTTTGCCTTTGTTTTATTCCCCAGCGTTTCTGAAGACCCCCTCCCCCCCTCTCTCTTCCACCACCTCGGCTTATTGCCCGACGCGACGCTGGCTCAGCCAAACGCGTGTTCACCAAGCCGGATATTAAAATTTCAAATCGCAGAGGCCGCCGGGGCGCCCCTTAAGCGCACCTGAGACACAGGCCGGGGAGAATCTGTCCCTTCCCCCGCACGGCCTGCCGGGCGGCCTGCTGAGCGGCCTGGGAGCAGCGAGTGTCAAAACGATCAGCCGCCACACTGTCAACAATATTATCCGTTCCTGAAATTTATGGAGATTTAAGGCAATTTTTGTCCCTATCGAACCCAAGGTACGGCTGTCTCCCATTTCACTGTGGAACGTTGCTGACGCCCTGCAGCTGAAACTGTGGACTAGTTAAACAATTAGGCAAGTGGCGTGCAGGCTTAGGGGCGAAAATAATCGATTCAGTGGCCGGTCTGCCTGCGGTCTAATCCACGCGATGAACTGACCGTGCCCCTCCAATCCGGTGCTGCCAGCCAGGGTCAGCCAGGGCCAGCCAGGGCACCACACGGCCCCCCTGGGTGCCCCATCCCCATTCAACTCCGCAGTTGCCTGCACTGCCTTTCAGTCAGCCCTGTGGCCCGGCAGGTCGTCGCTAATGCACAGGGTAATGCGTGGACAGTTCCACGCCAACAAACACAGCGCGTCGCAGAATTCAGGTCGGCGCCGCGGGGATCCCGACCCACAAATAATGACCCACTTTTTCGTGCCCTCCCCGTCGCCACACTGTTACAAAAAACATCATGGAATTTCAGACAAAATTACGAAAAATTTGATCAACGGCAAGTGGTTCTGAAATTTCAGACCATTTCGGCGGTCTGAAATTTTAGACCTGGGTGATCGGTTGAATTCTCGGCTCTCAATTTGATAAACCACGATGATTAAGCGTGCGTTGCGTTTCCTCAGAACGCAGACACATTAAAGACCAGGTGAAAATTGGACAAATTTCGAGAATTTGAAAACATTTCCGCGTTTTCATACAGACCACCCCGCCTTGCGCGAGCACCTCGCCCGGTTCGCTCGTCCATCTTTCATGACCTTCTCGTCCACCGCCTTCTGGAGGTAGGGCTCGGCCCGGCTCGGCCCGGCACGGCCCGGCACCACGCCCATGAAGTACACTTTATTGGACTCGATCCAAAGCCCCACGGCCAGAGCCCGGACACAGTTCTGGCCAGTCTAGTTTACCACCGCACAAACAAATTACGGAATCAAACTCTAGGCCGGCTTAGGGGCGCGCAAACGGGATCGCTTCTTCCGGCTCTCCACGGACACAGCTCGCGCGGCCCAGCTAGAGCACTGTACGTGAGTCAAAGGCTGAAAATACGTGAAGAGGTGCGGACACGGGGGATGCATCGAAAGTAAAAACACAGACGGAATCACCCCGAAATGATAAGCGGTCCGTCTGATCTTGCAATCTTCTTTCAGGCCAGGCATTGTGGTTTCATTTAAAAGCTAAGCGAGCTCTTAAGATTAACAGTAAAATCTCCGGCAGTGAGGCAAGTCTCTAAACCAACTCAACATTTCGCATTTCACCCCTCGCCTCTAGTGCCCAATTTGGAGCCCGGCCCCAAATTCGGGACCGCCACAGAGCCAGCCAATGACGAGCCAAACTTGGCGACACTTTCTGGTGCGGCGATGGCCAGCCCTGCGGTGGCGCACTTAGCAGCGGCCGAGTTGAGAAGTCATTTTGCGGGCAGCGCGGTTGTGGAGGCCTGGCTGGCCACTCGGCTCGCCTCGGCACGGCCGGACGAGGGTCGGGCAGAGGCCAAGCTCACCTGTCGGGCCCGGAGCCAACTATTGTGTCCCCGCGTCTGCCCTTCGAAAACGCACAGTGGATTTGCCAGACCAGAAGACCAGCCCCGGCGGTGGCCGAAACTCCAGACGCGTTTTGAGCTCCAGAGTCGGTCGCTGCATGGTACTCGAACCGAACGTGTGACCCAACCAATGGATTCCTCGTTCGGAAAGCAGTCCATTGGTGGGGTCACACGTTCGGTTGCAGAGTTATTAAGCGACTCTGGAGCTCAAAACGCGTCTAGAGTCTTGTCCACGCCTCCACGGTCTTCTGGCCCAGCGTCAGTTCAAGTGCGCCGTTCACCGACAGGGCTGCGAGGACTTCGGTTACGGGGTGTCCGTTTAGGGCCGTCGTCACGGGCCCACCGTAAGGACGCCGTTTCTGGCGCGTCTGCGAGACACGGCGTCTCTGGCTGAAAAATTGGATCGAAAGTCAGGGAATGGATGGCTCTGTCACGCGTGCTCACTATTTTTCCCACGTCATACCACGGCACTGCCACGCCACTGCCACACGCCCAACAAAAACAACAACAGGCTGTCGCCCTTTCTTCAAGTTGTTGTTTTTGCCCCTTTTTGGTCGGTCCGATCCTTGCTCGGGTGCATGTCGACGCGGCCTGGCTCGGTCCTCCCGTCATGCACTCACCACAAATACAAATATTTCGAAAAAAAGCTATTTCGTGCGTAGAAAAAGTCGATCCACACCCCAGAGACGATGATGAAGGTCATTTACAACGCGGAGTAGACGGGACGATCGAGCACGTTCCCGGCCCAAACGCACTGCAGTGTGCGTCCGGTCGAAAAGGCCTCGACATCCGAAAAAATTGTCACGGCTGTTTCATAAACACGCCAGCAGAGAGGCCGGCCGGGCAGAGCTTCGGGCGAGATTAGGAGATGCGGCCTCGGCCGGGAGGCGAACCGGCGGAACAGCCACGACAACGGACTAAACGAAAAAGCCATGACTTGCATGAGCGCGGGCGAACGACCGGGGAGACGGAAAACTGTTTCGATCCTGCGGGCGAAACAGTTTTCTGTTTACATTCCCCCTCCCCACTCGGCAAAATAATTTGCAGCCGCCCCAGACAAGGTCGGATCCCTCTCGAAATCAGCAGCAAAGTTGCTAATCCTCCCCCCAGGCAACAACTTTTCACTTCGAAGGCGGCGCGCGCCGCTGCCCCAGTAGACACACGCACTCCCCTGGCGGCCATAATGCGCGATGGGCCGAAAATAAATTGTGGCGAATGAAAACAAGCCTGCAGTGGTGGTGTGGAAGCCTTTTGGGTTGCCACGGAGCCCAGCCAGAGGCTGGAAACAACTGAGGTGGCTGCTCAAAAAAAAAAAAAAAAAAAAAAAGACAGCACTTTCACTCCGGGGGGCAGTGATGCGTTTGCAATCGATTAGGGAAGGGTTGTATCTCGTGAGTGTCCCGGACTAGCGGCGGGCTGGCGGCAGGCTAGCGGCCTCCAGGGGGCTCTTCTCCACCGCGCCACCTCCCCCCGCAGATCGCTCTTCCTCCAAACTAACCCGCCGCCGTACCCCTTTGGCTGGCTGCCTTTGGCTTGGGCCGCTTTGGGCACCCCTCCCCCTCCCCCGCGCCCCGGCCAGCTGGATTTTTACAGCCCCACCCTCTCT